GGTCAGTATGTATCGAGTCTAATTATCTATAGTTTTTAGCTCAATGTTCTTTGTAGGCCACTGATGAAGATGGTAAAATCTTAGTTCTCGCTGTCTATGATGATCCTTTTTTTAGTGCACTTGATCACATAAGTTAGTTATCCAGCAAAATCTGGTACTTTCTTGTTCAATACACGTGAAATTTCTCAGTCGAAGACCTAAGGAGAATTTCATGCTCAAGAATCAAGAAGAAAGAGCGTATGGCTCAGGATAACCTATCAGGTTCCTGCTAGATAAAGGGTCTCTTTGCAACATTGGCGTCTTTTAAGGAGGTGGGATTATATCTAATTCTGGTTGGAGTAGGAGATAACATTGTCCAAGCAAATCCTAAGCTCATGGTACTACACAACTTTGCATCTTCAACTGTACAAAAAAGTATCAGTTTCATGAGCTGTGAAACCATGAAATTGCCTATTTCGAAGTGCTAAAAAAAAAGTGAAACCCAGCAGTCGGGGGCCTGCTTTTTAATAAGCCTAATGAAATCTTTCAAGTCACATGTTGTCATGTTTGTTTGCGTATCTAAATAAATCGCTACTAGCATTAGTGCACTAGACCAAAATCATTTTTGGTAGGAGAAGGAAGTGAAAAAAAAAAAGAAAAAACCTACGCTTTCATTACCACAGAGAAGAATAAGCTGTGTTATATTGGCTTAGAAGCTCCTTTCGTTCATTAAAGGCAAGGAAGAACATTACATAAATTTCTGAATCCAAAGATACAAATCCTGTGAGAGTGTGAGAATAAACAAGAAATTACTGTGTTTTGCTTTGGCCCAATCATGAGTTTAGCGTTTTCCTTGCAGGTGTACCATATGCTTAGGCGACTATGAAGATAAAGATGTCCTGAGGATTATGCCTAAATGTGGCCACAGTTTTCATCTGTCTTGCATTGATGTTTGGCTAAGGAAACAGTCTACCTGTCCAGTTTGCCGTCTCTCAGTTCAGGACTCTTTCGAAGCAAAATATGTCCACCCCACGACCCGTCGCACAACCCAATCTTTTGACGATTCAGAGATTCCAGTTGAGCAATCTCAGCATTCTCAGATATGGCTGCTTCCTGCTGGTCAGCGGCCAGAGGGCAGTGTAAGCACCACGTCGGCTGCCAATTCTGTTACTATAAATGTTGAATCCAGTATTTCTGGAGCAGCAGCATCGAGGCATGAACAAGGGGAATCCGTATGACTTAAAATTTTTTCTTTTTCTTTGGCCACTCTTGTCATGCTGCTGGCATATGCTCTCTCGGCAGTCAATATTAATAGGGGAACCGGATCTGCAGAAGAAGCTATTTCAGAACAGTACGCAGCAGGGTTGCGATTGTACACCATGTCTGTAAATATGTTTTAGCATAGCAACAAGCAGGTGAATTGAAATGATGGTCTTTGCGAAGAGTTTCAGAGGAGTTTTGATACTCGAATTTGGTGATATGCATACATTTTTTTGGTATCGAAGTGGTACAAGACATCCAAGTAAATTATTGACTGGGCTCCAGCATAACGGATACTTCATTAGAAGTAGCTGCATTTCAAGATTGTGTTCATTCTGCGGTTTGAAATTCAACTAACGAAAAGTATCCAAGTTTTATGTATCCTGCAATTATGTTCTACAGTTTTGCTGTTGCCTGTTGGTTCTCCTGAGAGGACATTGGATAAATCATGTGCACTGCTTACTATTATTATTTTTTTTTCCGGATACGATAGATTCTATTTTACACCTACTTCTATTCTATATTAGGAGGGATCCAAAGGGATTGGAAGGAACTCGGGAACTGAACCATTACCGGTTCAAATCGGTATCTATGCACCTGCTAGCTAAATGTTCTGGAAAATCCTGAATTTAGATTGTCTTGACCTACACCCAAATAGAGCCTTGAGATTTTTTTGGTAGCCAACTAGTTTAGAAGTAGTTGGTTTGCACTGCTTAGTGTATGGTATCAATGGCCCATCACCAAGTAATGATATCAAGTCATTCTTTGTCTTTTGTGTGGTAGATACCATACAAGGGATGGCTCATTATAATATTTGGCGTATATTCTGTAAGAAATAATTTTTTCTTTAACTTTTTTTTTAATTTTTCCTAATAAGGCAGGTCTAGGGGATTAGAATTCAAAACTTTAATTTCCCATAGTTTTGATAAATAATTTCAGCTTATCCCTCGAACAAACGAACAGAATAATCACTGAGTTTGTTTGGATAAGAGTTTATTTGGATGATTTATTTGAGATATTTACTGTAGCACTTTTTGTGATGTGATGTATGTGAGATAAAAAGGTGATTGGGAAGATAAAAAGGTGATTGGGATTTGTGAAAACAAATTTTGCAAACCAAATTTGGCTTGTCCAAACAAACTCAGTGATAATTTGGTGAATTCACCATAATATTATAAACTTCAGACTATCCCTAGAACAAACGAACAGAATAACAGTGGAAATCTAAAGAATTCACCATAATATTTAGATATTATTATCCATTCCTGAATTTAAGAAACTTTTGCTTACTAATTAACGGACTACCTCCTTAACTAAAGGGATAAAAAATAGAAATAAACTTTGTTAAAATACAAAAACTATATATGTTATCCGGGTGTAATCGAGTTAGAATTGTATGCAGGACTTTACCCGTTATGTTATGAGAGATAAACTTAAATTTGAAAATCATATATATATATATATATATATATATATATATATATATATATATATATATATACTCTAAAGTTGTATTTTCATACTTATCCCTACATATTTTCTCTTTCCTACGTGACTTAATGAGACGACAAGTAGTTTCCTACGTGGTTTGCTCCTTTTTTGTTTGAATATATATCAATTCTTATTTCCTATAAAAATTTTTAATATTATATGATTCTTATTTCCTACCCAAAAAAGGAACTGGAAAGTAATGCGATATAAATAAAATGGATATAAATCTCCTCTATTAGATATATAGGAATAAATGATAATATATTTTTTTATAGTGTCCTATTCTTTTTTTTAACAGTTTCATCATAGATCCTTTTTATTTTAAGATAATCTACCTATATATAGAACAACATACAAACAATCTAGATATGGAAATTAAAGAAAGTTAGCCCGAAAAAGTTTTTACAAGACTCACAGTCCCCATGCATAATTGATGTACAAAGAGAAATGGCACTTCATCTGATTGAAAATTTCTGGAAAAGTCCATAAAGAAAATGGAGTGTCATCAGCCAAAGAAATAAAATCCCATTATCATAGCTAAAGAAAGATGTGATAAAATATTAGATATTTGTTGAATTTTTGCACCCCAAAGGCTCCTACCTGACCCTCCGTCCGTAGTGTCCTCCAATCCAAGAGAAAGACCTCCGTCCGTAGTATCCATAGTGTCCTCCGCCTGTCTTTTTTTTTTAATATATTTCTGCTAATAATTCCTTAATCACAATACATCTCTGCCCAGATGGTGGGGAGTATTTCGTGTGTGGACTCACATCATAGGAGTTCATGCACTTAAAGGACTCGATATAGTGGAGGTGGTCTTTTAAGGTCGGTAAAATCTATCTTGATAATGCATTTGTAAATTTATTACGTACAGGTTTATATACGTGCATAGTATGGGTCACATAAGATCTTATTTCCTACCCAAAGTTATTTGGACGATTATAGTTTTATTTCTTATAAGAATTTTTAATATTATAGGATTCTTATTTCTTACCCAAAGTTACGTACTTTAAGCAACTTAAATTAAGATAAACATACTTTTAATGTTCTTATCAATATCTCTTTGTCTCCTTATCAATTCTTATTTCCTATGCCTACACTACATACAGCCTCTAATATATTGACTTCAAACATCAAATTCATGGTTAGGTATTTCCAGTGCAAGCTGTTGGCATATTAAAGTATCGATTTTGGGTTTCCACTCCTTTTTATTATCAGATACATCTTATTTCAATATATATATATATATTTTTTAAAAAGGCATGTTGATCTTCAATTGTAAGAGCTTACTAACATATCTTGAATTTTGTTTTTTTTTTTTTGTTTTATTTTCTATTTGTTTTGTATGAAGACATAGGATTTAAACAAGTACTTTTATCGTTATTTTTGTAGGATTTTTTCTATCATGTTTGTTAATTGATTTTTGTGAACATATACTACGATGTTTATTAATTTGCCTTTAGGAAAAACAACAAAAAACAAAAGGCACCGGAAAGTAATGCAATATAAATTTAAAAGATATAAATATCTCTATTAGATATATCTGCAAATTCATTAGTTAATTAAAAGAGTCTGGCCGTTTACTTAATTATAATCTTTACGTATTGTTATACACAACCTTGAATGCGATAAATCATTTATTTTTTTTATACTTAGTTATCCTACTTTGCTATCATGCAGTGATAACAGAAAATCAATAAATGCTGATTTGCACGGACAAATCGAGGAGAATGTTTAAATAGAAAACAATAAAAACAAGTTTCTGAAGAGTAGAATGTTATTTGATACTATTTACTGCACTTTTTATTTATTTTCAAGTTTTTGAATGTTATGGTATTGTTGAATGTTATTTTTTCTATTTTTAAATTATTATTCACTGAATTAGATGTTCAAATTTATATTATAAAAATATTTTACATTGCAATGTGCTCATAGTAATATACTTAAACAAGTTATAATAGATTATACATTAAATATGTATTTTATATCGACATTTTTATAAATTGACTAAATAGTTTATTATTTTTCGACGATTCCCGTTCAACGAACAGGTACAAAACTAATTACTATATATCAAAGAAAAACCAGATAATCAATTCTGAGGTTAGGTTTTTGTTTTTGATTTTTTTTGGGGTTGAGTTTAGCTAATTGTAATAAATTCTGATCACGTTTAGTTCCAAAATCTTATTTCAAAGGTCCTAAGCTGGTCGCGAGGACAACCCGGGTTGAAACAGGTTCCACGGTTCGTCTCCTCCATTAGTGAAAAAGGAGTCAAACCAGAAAAATGGAACCAATCCGAACCAGGCACCTCAAACACAAACTAGAGCTTTTGCCCGTTTTGGCTTCCTTTCAGGAGATAAAATAGCGAGAAGAGAGAATGGGCGTAGCTATGCTACACGCGGGCTTCATCTCCTTCTCATCCTGCATTCCTTCTTTTTCAAGTGGTGGTCTTAGCAGAAGATGTACAAGATTCTCCTTCACTAAACTACACAGGCCTCTTGCAAGTAACAAAAGAAACCATTGCTTCCCCCACCTCCTCACCCCCCCCCCCCCCCAAACCCCCAAAAATTCATGCTTGATGAGTTTAACAAATATGGCCCCCCGACTTTTTACCTGGATTTCAATGTTTCAGTCTCCTAAGCTGCTAACTTTTACAATTTTGCTTGTGGGTCTGTCTTCTTTTACCAGATTGAATTGATGATGGTGATTTTTTATTGTTTAAACGCAATTGGTGTGAATTCATTATTTAATTGACACAAGTGTTAGTTTGTTTTCCAGTATCTTTTTCCCTCGTTTCCTTGTGAATGGAGTGCAATGCGCTTCAGGAGTTATGTTGGACCTCATTTCTGTTCAAAGTTGTGCACTTTTTTACCATTTAAGTGTTATGTGATGCTTTTTGGCCAAAATAATTGAGCTGAACTAAACTGATGTTTACAGCTGATCCCCAATTTTCATTATTTCCCGTTTCTTTTCAAAATGACTCAATCAAGTGTGTATTATTTCAGTGTCAAGCTTGAGTAATGATCCTATACGGGAATGGATCCTATCAGAAGGAAAGGCAAATGAGATTACAAGAATTAGTCCTGTTGGAGGTGGTTGCATCAATCTCGCTAGTCGTTATGACACTGATGCTGGTTCCTTCTTCGTTAAAACTAACAGGTATGGATGAAGCCAAATGTTCCTACTAAGTGTGGTATCCATGGTTCGAAGTCTCGGCCGAGTCGTCACCGTCTCGGCTTTTACCGATACGATATCGCGACGAAACGATACCGAAATACTTGACTCGCCGAAAAAATCGGCCGAGACATCACCGCGATGGATTGACTCGGCCGAGTCACTCCGAGTTATCCCGAGTTAAGACGAGAAATCGGCCGAGTTACACCGTGACGGATTGACTCGGCCATTTCTTTTGCTATTTTTTATTATTTTTGTTTAGCATATTTTTTTTATAATATTAATAATTTTTAGAATATTAAATATTTTAAAATTTGCGTCTCATCGAGACCGCGACCGATATATCGAGATCGATGTGGAACGTTCCAGGCCGCGACCGTGACCGCGACCACGACTTTGAACCACTGGTATCCTGCTTTTTTATCTACGTGAATCTGCCCCTAGTTTGATTGATCACACGTAGTACAAACTATTAGTGGGTGGCATGAGTTTGTATGCTTCTAGCATATTGATGAATCTGAGACTTCATAAAAGAAGAGAATATGAAACAGCATGAATGTTGCATTTGTTTTTTGACCAACAAAATCTTTTTTTTTTTTTTCCTTGTAAAACTAAGAGATTAATGCATGCTTTCATGTTCTTACATTACTCCAACATTTGAATAGGAGCATTGAACCATCAATGTTTGAGGGAGAGGCTTTAGGTTTGAATGCTATGTACGAAACTAGAACAGTCCGTGTGCCTAAACCATTTAAGGTGAGGTTATAAATCATATTTTAATGGCTTCTTCTCAATTACTTACTATCTGTGCTTAAATTCAGCGCTAGGTTGTTTGACATGACAAACTTGATAAAATGTAATTCTAGGTCGGTCCGCTTCCAACAGGTGGTTCATATATTATCATGGAATTTATTGAGTTTGGTGCTTCTAGAAGTAATCGAGTAAGGACGGTTCATTCCTTCTTCCTTCCTCTATTATTCTCGGCATGCTTTTCTGCAGCTATTTGTTTTGTTATAATTTTCATTGAACTTGAATCACCAGTCAACAGTCTGTACTAGGGAGGAAGCTTGCTGAAATGCATAAAACAGGGAAATCTGAGAATGGCTTTGGTTTTCATGTGGATAACACCATTGGAAGGTAATTAATTTGTCATTTCGGAGTTTACGATACATAACTTTCCCCCAATGCAAGTGCAGTTGCAAGCCATGAAAACATTGTATATATGTCTGTATAAACCCCTTTGCTCCTCTATCTACATAAATTTCTTATCTCCAAATATCATGTCTGGGTTGATAATTCCATGTATCAGCTTCTGATTTACATAGGGAAACAAAACATTTTTTGAGTTTTAACTACTTCAGATACATTTGTGTAGCACTCCACAGATTAATACTTGGACATCAGACTGGGTAGAATTTTATGCGGAGCATAGACTGGGTTACCAACTGAAGTTGGCAAGACAACAGTATGGTGATTCGACCATATATGAAAGAGGTATTGATTATCTGTACTATTTTTTTGAAATTTAATGAACAAAATGGATGAGTATGCTGACTGTAGCATTATAATAAATCTTCCAACTGACTTGTTGGCAACTACTGATTGGTAAAGTGCATAAAACTCCTGTTTGAAAAATTTTTTGATGACACTCTAGAATTGGGATTTGACCTACACAGCAAATGAAGGAAGCTAGTTGTGCGGTGGTAGTTTAATTTTGGCAGTGGTGGAGAGGAAATTACCGGGAGTGAAATATGCTAAAAGTGGCGTGGCAGATGGTCTGCCTTTTTGGCTGCTCTTCTACTTTATTCTTCCCTTCTCATATGTGCATGGACACTTGATGCAGGAGAGGGAGGAAAAGGAGAAGGAAGTAAGGCTTGGTTTGGGAGTTTTGAAGAGAAAAGAAAAGAAGAGAAAGTTTAAGTTGTGAAAGAAATGAAGAGGAGAAAGGAAGGGCAGGAACTTTGAAGTTGTTTCGGAGTTTAGGAATGATTTTGGACATGTTCGGTGTTAATAATTTTTTAATTGGTATATTATAGACAAATGTGGCATTTAGAAAAAGTTTGGAAGCTTTGGTTTCACTTTACTTCCACTTCTCTCCATATTTGGAGAGAGTTTTGTTAACTATTCATCCTCCATTTCTTTTCCTTCCACTCAAAAACTCTCAAACAAAGGAAAAATGAGTCTTTCCCTTTCTCTTCTTTTCTTCCAAATCTTTCCATCCAAACTAGGCCAATGGTGAAGAGGATAAGAAATTGATAGACATCCATTTCCTTATTTTGTGAATACGCATAAAAACAACAATATTTCTTTAATTTGTATTAAATTTATCAACATTCAGTAAATGACCCTGAAAAATGGATGGACTTTTGCATACAGGACTAAGGTTGGCAAAGAATATACGGCCTCTTTTTGAGGGTGTAGCGATAGAGCCTTGCTTGTTGCATGGGGACTTATGGAGTGGGAATATCACTTCTGATAGAAATGGAGAACCTGTCATCCTTGATCCAGCTTGCTACTGTAAGTCTGTGTTCTTCTGCTCTTTTACATTATATTAGCATCTCTTTCACCAGAGATTGCATTTGTTTTGCTATTATCAAATGACTTCAGTTTGTTAATTTCCAGTTGACCATTCCATTGAAACAAAAAATCAAGTAGGTCTAAGTATGACTAGTTATGGATGTGATTTGCACCCATCTTTTGAATGGAAATATATGCTTGCACAGCATTGTGCACAACGCTCAAATTGCAGTTACTTTACTAGTACAGTTGCAGCTTCTCTGATCAGAATTTTTTTTTTTGCGGCAAATTTTCAGACCGAGGATGGATCTTCTTGATGATTTCAAACCTTCGTCATTGTTGACTAGAACTTTATGTTGTAGTATTAGTAAAGGTTTATGCAAGATATAATATGTCGAGAAACAAAAGACAAGCATCTGCTTACTGGAAATGAATAATCTGGAGCAACTGTCTTCGTAAATTTGATTAGAAGTTTGTTTTGATCCCTGAGAACAATACTATCCATATGATAAAATGATTGATAATAGTTTAAAATGTTATTAATCACATCCTAGAAAATTACATCTTAGCTGAAAAACTTTATTCAGGACCTCAATTGTTAAAATAGTAAGCATCGGTTGGGAACTTGGGATGAGTATAAACCTCTTCATCTTGTACAGATGGGCATTGTGAAGCAGAATTTGGAATGTCATGGTGTGCTGGATTTGGAGGATCTTTCTACAATGCTTACTTTGAGGTACTATGTTTCAAACAATTCTTTTGTCAAACTTTGATAGAATAGAACATCAAATTAATATGCTTTATTGTCTGCTCAAGTTCTTTGTTACCATCTTCCCAAATTTTGCAGTTAGGTCTTTGCCTGTTGCCATTTTGGTATTTATGGAGTATTTTGACTGCTAGCTTTTAATCTTTGCGTGCTATTTCCTCGTACAACTGAACAGAAATCTCCTATTGTTTGTGTCTTCTGTATCAGGTGATGCCCAAGCAACCGGGTTTTGAGAAAAGGAGAGAACTGTATCTGCTGTATCATTACCTTAATCATTACAATTTGTTTGGCTCTGGTTATCGATCATCTGCCATGTCCATAATTGATGACTATCTGCTCATGTTAAAAGCTTAGGCTAAAGATCTTTTTTTCTTTTTTAAGGCTAGGCTAAAGATGGTTCAAAGATGTACTATTTCAGTGTAAATTCTGTAATCCGATTTTGTCTGTAAATTATGCCCAATAACATCATCAGTTGACCAGCATCCTTAGGCCATTGGTTTCTGTCATGTCTGGTTGGCCTGTCCCCTCCTCTCCCACTGTTTCATATCTAGTGAACAATGGGCGGAGCGACGGCCATCAAACAAATTCTATCCGTTTATATGATCTTTTGGTTATATCATTGATAATGGAGTATTCTCTTACGGATTGAAGCCTATTTGGAGATTTTTTTGTTAAAAAAAAATTAGTATAGCACTTGTCGTGGTGTTAATGCATGTGAGATAAGAAAAAGTTATAAACAAAAATAAAATAAAAGTGTTTGAAAACTTTATTTTTTATTTTTTAGAAAACGAATGTCTCCAAACAAATTTCTCTGTGTAAGTCGTTCCTTTCTAAATAGTTTTTTGTGAGACAATAATGAAAGCATTACAAATACACGAAAAAGGATTATAAAATACGTGTTCTCTCTCACAAGTAAGAAAAACTCTATGTCACAAACAACTAAAACATTCATCCGAATTCTGACCAAAGGAAAACCTTTTTTGGGATTTTTTTTTTTTTTTTTTATAATTTACAGGTATTCGCATTGATTTTACGGTCTGTGACTGATTCTGTTTCAGTCTAATTAAGTTTCTTGTGAAGAGAAACTCTTTCAATGTTTTCTTTTTCATTCTCATGAATGGATTTCGAGCTCTGAGTACCATGGTTAAGGAATTCTGAGATTTTGATTTTCCATGGAAACCACGCTTTTCCAACTTAACCATCGGCAGAGGAAAACACAAAAAAAAAAAAAAAAAGAACAAACTGCAAAAACAGCATACAAGAACATTGGGACACCAACCCGGAGAGGCCCACGCTTTTCCCGACCACGTTGTTTAACTGTGTTTTAAGGAATCTAAAACGATTCCCCCATTGTCAGTGAACCAAATCAATCACGCACACACACACACAGAGTGGGGGAAGAGAATTGGGGAATGGGGTCAGAAGCTGCAGCAATGGGTGAGCTAGTGGTGGCGCTGGAACAAGCAGTCCTAATGGCTAAACAACTTCCTTCCTCAGCTACTACTCCTGTTTTAGACCCTTCCCAAGTCTTCCAAATTTATTCTTCTCTCCAGACTGCCCACCACCACTTGACTCTCTTCCTCTCCCACCATCCACCACCGCCATCCCTTTTGCCTTTCCGGCCACATCAGGCCTCTTTTCTCCCTTCCCTCCAGCCACCACCACCACCACCACCGCTCGAAAACTCTGTCTCCTCAGCCGTGGGCGGCGGAGATGAATATGACATGGACCCCATGCAAATGGGTGATGATGATGAGGTTGAACACGATTCCAAGAACACCTCCACTTCTGCTGCTGCTGCTGCCGTTATTGAGATTGAGGGAGTTGAGGATAGGATGAGAGACTGCTTTATTCAGAATAAGAGACCCAAAAGGCCCTTGTCTCCGTCGTCTGTGGCTGCTGTGGGGGAGCAGCGGCCCAGCTATCTCAGTGACGTGGCGGCTGGAAGAGGCGGTTCCTCAGCGGAGCAATTTGATCCCAAGGGGAGTAGATTAAGGTCTCTTGATCTTGTATATCAATTTCATGGTTGAAGAAATGGACAGCAGTGAAGGGATATTTGAACTTTTGCATATCGCCCGCCTTCCTATTGTATTCTTCAAACTCGAGGAATTATGTACTATTAACAATTCTTTTTTTTTTGGAATATATTTGTCTATTATCTAGTACTAGTAGTTTTTGCTTATTTTTAAGAATTTCTGGATTATTTAGAAGTGTGCTGGGGGGGGGGGGGACGGGACTCCATCCCACATCGAAAGATTGTGGGATAGTCATCCTGAGTTTAAGGTTCTCAACCGCACTTTCAGTTATCAATTGGCGGGATGATGTTAGTTTGTGAACTCCACCTTAGATTGTGCTTAGCACCTTGACGTCTATTAGGGTTTCTAATTATCTCGACAGTTGAAAAAAAAAAAAAAAGAACTTCTGGACTATTTATTCTTCCACTGTTTTGCTAGTACGTGAGTGGCTACAAATGCTGGCTTCTCCTGAGAGCCAATTTGGAAGATACAAGGAATTAGCCTGCCAAATTCATCCTTCAGTGTATATACATACATTGGAAAGGAACCAGGAGTCATTATAGCATTATAATTTACAGTGATTGCAGTGCATAAAAAAGGGTAATGATACCTTCTGTAGTTCTGTTAAACATGAGCTACCATTGGTCAACATTTTAGCACCATCCAGTGCCAAAAACACACACACACACACTTGATATTGTTACACTTCTCTTGCCTACATTTATTTAACCCGTGTTATATGTAATCGACAAATAAGAATGATAATCAGAAACTCCATGTTTCAACAGCGTAGGCAGGAAATATGAACTCCTACCCATCCTGTGAAGAGGCAAACTCAACAGGGTGGCTCAACAATCTAGCTTGTGATCTGGCCTAAACTGATTAGCCCCACCAGAAACAAAAAATGAAGAGCAGATCTAACATTGTCCGGGTTGGCAATCTTGGGGTTCCTTGAAATACTGTCCTGATATATCCAGTTTGGCAATGATGGATTCTCCCACAAGGCCATTATTCAAATGACACCCAATATACCTATGGTTTTGAAATCAGGTTGTGCAATTTTACAAAATCCTCCAAAGCAAGCTCCTCTGGTCTTGACTGCATATGAGTACAAAATTAAGATTCAGAGCTGCTCAGAAACTGAGGTAACAGAATGAATGTATAAGATAAATTATTAGAATACCAACCGTGGTTTGAAAACCAACTTCACTCAGAGCTGCTTCTATCTCGGTGGGAGGGCAGATGTGCTGCAGTGTTTTTCTCAGCATTTTACGCTTTCCATTGAATGCTGAGTTCACCTGACATCACGATTGGAGTTATTATGCAGGCAAAAATAAATTGAAAGATATAGTAGCGAGTGGAAAACATAGATTGCCAACTTTTGCGAACAATTCAGAGTCACAGCTATGTGCAACGGCATTTATAACAAAAGGTCAAATTAATAAAATATCAGTATTTTAACTTCTTTCCCAGGGCAAAATAATTTGAAAACTAGCGAAGTTCTGATCAAGAGAAAAGAAGAAAGTATTAGTTCCGGAAGACGCTGCAACAAGAAAGGCTTTTCAACAGTAGTCTCTCAACATGAATAGTGAGAAAGGAAACCAAACAGAAGAGTAGCTGCTGAGAACCATTGAGAAAAAGCTTTTTGTGGATGAAACTCGTGGATAGTCCAAAGCTTGCTTCAGCCTGAAGGCAACAACTGCTGCATCCACCTGCAGAAGCATTATGAATTACTGATCACAAATGGTCATGGCAAGTACCACATCGTTTTTTCATACAATACCATTCAAAGGCTGTTTATCTGATAACTATCTGCAAACAACTGATACAGATAAACACGCAAATCAATTCTGTGTTCCAATAGGTGAATGTGTATAGCACATGCTTGAAATCTTCAGAAAATATCACGAGCCACATGACTAAAGCATCCACTTGAGATTTACTTTCATTCAGATAAAAGAATTTACTTGCCTTTGGCTGCGGGAAGAAATTTGTCCTTGGGACCTTAAATTTGTACTCAGGATCTGATGAGATGAAAGTGAAGAAAGAATTTAATTTATGGCATACAGCTGCAGAATAATGCCATAGGAAGAACAGGCATGTACAAGAGATGGCTATGACAAAGTAGGTAATAATTATTATTTACTTTGAATATATGAACAAAAAATATTAAGACAACTGTCCATCTTGAACTATGACCATTCCAAAATTAATTCCCACCATAAATGATACTGATCAAATTTACACCAATCCATCTAGTCTCAGTAATATGCCTTCTGAATCACCTGAATAAAAGTTCACAAAAATGTTTATAGGTCGATATTCTGAGGACCTCAAGGATGGATCCACCAAACGCAATGCTGCTTCCTCCTACAAAAGATCAAATATTTCAGAAAAAGATTGACATCATGATGAATGAGAACATCCGTAATACTGATCTGGATTAGAATGTCAGCCTGTTAGCAATAGGGTGATCATGGTTAGCCGCCACATTTCATTTGCATTTTGTTTCTCTAAGGAACATATAAATGCTCTAATATCTCATTATAGACTCAAAGGAGAAAATAAACTTTAAGGCACACGGGTTTACATGCACACGCATGTAGTAACCCATCTGAGGAGCGATATGATGTTTTAAACTCCCCAAAAGAATATTGCCAAAATTTCAGTCGAATATGGACTATTATAAAGTAGATATTTCTGTTTCTGTTTCAAAAGATTAGACTAAAGCTAAATGCTCAAGTGAGAAATTTGCTGAATTTTGACAGGGCTCTTGCATTTGTAATCGTTGCTTTGGTTATGTGGCGCCACTTTATAGAGGTAGTGGTTTTGCAAAAGCACAGTTAACTTCTGCGCCTAACATGTTGCACATATTACCATGCACAGTTCACTATCAACATTAAAGGTGTCATATCAAAGAAGTGGCAAAGTGAACCTGGAGTAGAAGGACAACTTCTGAGAACATGTCACCCATTGGAAGAAGTTGTTTTACCACATCTGTACTTATATTGAAAGGTATATTGGCAACTACCTGCAATTAATCAGTGAAGGTACAGTTAAATATCCAAGTCTAGTGGTGAAGAACAATATAACAACTAAGCTACTTCTACATATAAAAAGAATTTGCATCAGTCAGCCTCCTCAAAGTATGTGATATTATGATATGTAAAAATGAGCTGGAGCCACTTCAGGCAATATGGAGCATTGTCAACGAACAACAGAGAGACATAGACCCTTAGCAAAAAATCAGATCACCCATGAGAGAGCCATCTCATAACACTACACACTTAAAGGGCTATAATAACCTTGAAGAAAACCGAAATTAGATTCACTCAGCCAAGCCTGGTGGTCAAGTCTAACTATCGTGCAATCAGCACAGACAAATTTAATGTCATCAACAGCACATATTGCTAACTTTTAACTTGCTGGAGAGCAAGTCTAATATAATCTGGACAGAAAGATTATCTTTCCATGTATTGTCCTCAAAGTTCGTATAATTTCTTGATATGAACCATTGTGTCTTCATGATCAAAAGTTGACCAGCCCGTAACATAGCACTGAAAGCAAGATTTGTTATCACCTTTGCACGTTGTGACTCCACAAAACTTCTACCTTCCATAATCAGTGACATGTGAGAGCGTATATGACATCTTGTAAAATCTTCCTGCAAAACCTGCACGTTCCAACAACAAACAAAGGAACATAATGCATTCTCTTCCTGACAATAAAACTCCTAGTAAAGCATTAAAGCATTCAAAAGCTTGATCAATTTCTATGAACAGTATAAAAGACCTATAATTCAAGAATCCATTTGCACATGGAATAGTTTTTTTTCATAACATGAAATATCCCAGTGGATTACAGAGAGAGATAGAAAATAAATGAAAAGGTATTCTGGAAACATGAGTGGAAACTTTTCCAAACAACAAGACATGCGAAATCCTTCCCCAATTGAATAGATCCCAATTTGCATTTGTTAAATTTTAGGGCAAATGAATTGTTGCCAGAAAATATAAAAATTGGCAAAATCAACATGAGACTCTGGCCGAAAACTAGGTCTGCAGGGTTAATGTACCTACTTCCCTACTTTATCACCACCCTTACATCCTCTCTGGTGGAGAAAGACATGGACCAAATGCAGTCATTCCCGGTAACATCCAAAGTCCTTATGGGAGTTTAATCGGGAGTCCCGCTATCATGCCTCACTTACAAGTCATTTAACCAATCAAAGACCTACTTTGTCAAGCATGCGACACAGTAATCAAGGGCTAAATGGACTTTCAAAATTGTGAAAGTTAATAAACCTCTAGACAGCTAATTTCATCTATTTTTCCAATCATGAAATTGAAACTAAAAACAAGTATTGGACTCCAAAGATACGAGTTTAATGCAATGAAGCTGATGTAATGTTGGAATGCCACATCAAGTAACTTGAGACATTAAGCTTTCAAGGGAGCTTAAAAAGAAATTATTGCCTGTTGACTTATTGTGGAATATTATTCTGTAAGCTAGCTCAAAATCTATAGAGCAGGTATGAAGAAAGACGCTATCAGGGAGAAATTTCCATAAACCAATGAACAATTGAGTCTTCACGTGCTCATTAACAAAAGGATAGAAGCTTTGAACTTATAAGAAGTAAGATTATCACCTTCACCCGATTTGTATTAGCAAAACGTTCCCTCACAAGTGCTGCCATATATGGGTCCTACAAACGATTAAAAAAAGAAAAAGAAATAAGGTCCACCTGAGAAGAAGACATCTTTAAGTAAAACTTCAATATTCCACTTGAGATGAAAAAAGTATAAGCTCCTAGACACTGAAAAATATTCTCTTTACTTCTCTTTGATATTTTTTCCCCTCCTCACTTAGCTGACAAAGTTTGCTATCCGTCTTTTGCAATCTGTCAGTCAATTAGAATTTCCTCTTTAAGTTCACTTTGGAGACCCTAAAACAACATTATCCACATCATGTGGAAAGGAAACCTAAAAGTCCTCACCCTGTGGAAAGGACATGCT